TATATAAAAAAAAAACAATCTGGATCCGAAGAAAAAAAAAAAAAAAAAAAAAGGAAAAAGCGGACTTCCTCCAGCGCACTTTTCGGACAATGTTCGATACACCGCGTCGCGTACACACTCGCGACGACAACAATCAAACACTCGCCGCCACACCCAACGACGCTGCTTGTTGAATTCCACGCGCGTGGTGACGAGCTCCGCGCGTTCGTGCGTACGGCAAAGCGACTGACAAACCAACGAGGTAACTCCATCGGGCCCCGAGAGTGAGGAAGGGGGGGGGGGAGAAAGGGAAGAGGGGACTTCCCTTGCTACGCACGGTATCCTCCCCGCTTTGGAGTACCGCCGGCCGTTAGGGCCGTTTTTCGTGAATCTCGCGTATCCTGCTACACGTCGCAAAGTTCGAGGAAGTCGAAATGAGAGTATAGATGTAGAGCGAGATACCTGATGGAGAGATTCGTGGTTGTTTTGTCCCGCCAGGTGTGTCACTGAGATTGTTAAGATGACACAAGTTGTACCGATATTATTTCTCATTTCGTTTATAGCGTGTCTGAAACTCCCTCGCCGATCGAACGCATCGGATCTTGTCACTCACGGTCCCGTTTTTATCTCGTTTCCGCTTCTACGCCGCAAATTTCAACTATATATGTATTACGATGAATTTCTCTGGACACGTACACGGCAATAGTACGCTTCTACCTGCTCTCGCCTTCCCTCTCTCTTTCTCTTCCTCACTCTCACCCTCCCCTTCCCGATCCCTACTATTACTACGCTCGCACGTGAGGTACACACTGTTTCAGTGGTTCCCAAATCTTTCCGTGTATTGCACATACTGGGAACAAGGAATGCCTTAACGCATAAAGTTAAGCACATTTTAGGACGTACTTCAATTGCCCCAAATGTGCTCAACTTCTACTTCTCTTAAGTTCCCGGCGCCCGAAATATACATACATATATGTGTGTGTGTATGTTACAAAATATTGATAATTTAATACATATACATATATCAAAAATTATTTTTTTTCTGATGTTATGCTTTGTCATGTCAAATTTTAATTATAAATTACTTTGCGAAATAATATCATATACGAACCTCTCAGCAGTTAAATTGATCAACTCCACTGTTTGTAAATTTCTTAATTATAATATCAGAGCACATAAAATTAACATTAATTATGCTTTATAAGCATTACGTGCTAATATAAGCATTACGTGCTTTGATATTAAAATTAAAATTTACCAGATGGAATTAATCGATTTTGGCTTTTCATATAAATATTGAACAGTATCATATATTAAGAATTTTCTAAATTCTTCGCGATTGAAGGATATCGGCAAACTTTAGGCGCGCTTCAATATGTTTTCAAGGCCTCGTAATATAAATCGTTACATTAAAGAAAGATTCGGAGAGACCACTGTTAGATATCAAATGCTCTATACCGGCACCATCGAATTCGGTGGTGCGTGTAATTATTGTGCGTATCGTGCTCGTTATGCTGCTCATCGTCCTTAGCCAGTCCCGGTGCACCGGAAAGCTCGCGACGTAACATTGAGAAACTATTCACATGAAAGATTTAGATTTCGATTTGAAAAAAAAAAATAATTAATCGCATAAATCGCTGATCCCGCGATCTATCCTACATTATATCCCATTTATAACAGTACTCGAATATTCGAGAGTAGTATTACAGGATAGTATATACTTAAATTAAAAGTAATATTAAAATATAAAATTTTTAAGAAATGTCTGTAATATATTCAAATCATTATATTATTAATAAATGATAATATTCTCAGATATACCGTGAGAGATATCTAAAAAAAAAGGCAAAAAATTATTTCTTCTACTATAAAATTATTTCATATCAAAGTCGTTCTTTTGTATAAAGTTTTCGAGTTATACCGAGCAATGCATTCATTCGATCGATGAACGGTCCGTCTCGGACGAGTAATACCTGATTTTATCCTTCGAAAAACCGGTAGGAGACGCGCGAGGAACAGTCAATGGGAATATAATACCTGCCTTACAGGAGTATTCGAAAGGGTGAGCACATGCTCGTTCGTATAATGATATAATAACGCGAATCGCCACGAATGTCATCGCGCTCGTCTCGATTTACAATCAGAAAGTTTAAGTAACGGCGAGCGAATCGGATGACTATGCAGGATGAATCGAATTAACCATTTCCTTGATTTATTCGAACGTATATATTTGGGTATCGTATATATATTTTTAGCTGATTAAAATTACCCGAGTGTTAACTTTGTTCGAGAGCCGCGACTATTTCGAAAATATTATTAGATGTTTCTATAACAATGCATTTTTTTAATTGTTAATACAGAGAAAATAATTGTAAATGAATAGCAAAATTAATAGTAAAATATAAATCATAAAATAAATAACAAAAATCTGATATTTTATGAAGGCGAAGTTTTCTGCAAAAATATTCGAAGGCACAAAATATTCAGAAATAATTTTTGCGATTAACTTAAATGTGTGATGTTCATTCTTTTTCAACGTAATCTTTGTAGTCTGACAAAGAATTAAAAAATGTTAGACAAGTCTATTAGTTTTCGGTATTATTGTGACATAGAATAATCTCAAAAGTGCTTCCGGATCTTTCTAATCTTGAGCTGTTTGTCAACAATATTTGATCGTTTCAGAATTACTCGTTGCAAAATCATGCGTTTGACATTATAGTTTTATCGCGTGATACACCCGTCATACTATCAGTATATCTTTGAAAGATTTATGTTTTCACGCTCATTCTAACACTCTTGCCGGATATTAAATTCACAACGGGAATTAAATTTAGCAATGAATTTTAGCACTTGTCATAGATAAAAAAATTTTACCAAAAATATCAAAATTTGGGGAAAAAGTTTTCTTGTTTTTAATATATATATGTATAAAACTCTCTCTTTTCTACAGTACAAAAAGAAAAAAGGAACCAGCTATTCATACTCATGAATAATTCCGTTTCCCGAGCAATACGACCAAAACTCTGGAACTTCTGGCAACGACTATTATCGTGCATTTAATTATGCTACCGCTGTTGCACTATCGCGTTAATATATACATCACAGACGATGTATGTACTAACGGCTTGTTTATTGCACTTAAGCGGCCGTTTCCTGCCTTGTATCTAGGTATTGCCCCTCGTATATATTCTGTAATGCACATTCCTGTAGCAAAAGAGCACGCATCACTCTCTTCCCTCTCTCTTCCTTCTTCATTAACGTCCATCCGAATGTCCACGTCGCGAAACACGCGTTGTTGTGAATTAAAACGGCAAATTATACAGTGGGTGCAATTTGTTCATCGCGTACTTTCTCTCGGTCGACAGATTCTTTCATTTCCTACAATACACGATACTTAGCGCACTCTGTAAAATAAATATTTTTATTTAATTGTTTGCGAACATAAATAAAGAATATTTCAAAACTATAATCTGTCACTTTTTTATCATTTATTTCTCTCCTCGTTATCAAATTTATTTAATATCGAAAAATGTGTATTCTCCCATAAATTATATATATATATATATAAAATTTAAAAGTATAAATAATAAAATTATTTTTTTTAAGATAATTTTGAATATATTTTAAATTTATATGACTTTTTTATTATAATAGCATAATATTTTTTTAAAAATTGACAAATTTGTAGAGATTATGATCTCTTATTAAATCTTTGACGATAAAAACTCAATTTCGTTTAAATAGTAAAATAGTAAGACACTGGGTGTAAAATCGATTTTATCAGCAATTTGCTCTCAAAAATAGGAGCTAAAATGCCAAGTTTTTCTTAATTCATCGTCGCGCTTTCGCATTCGCGGCATCAGATTCAACGGTATAACGCCATGGATACTTTCTACTCTCATTCATACTTTCTATACATAATCGCCATCCTAGTAGAAATGCCGTTTATCGATCGTATTAATATATTCTGATTTGCGTAAATTTCTTAAAGAAGAATGCAAGAGCGCTGATTCTGGTTTCATAAATCTTTCCTACGGTACTGCGAAGGAAGCCACGAGAGCACGAAGGTCGCGAGTATGTCGTTGCATCGTCATTACCTCGAATACCTCCAAGTGCCTAAATCTCTACAGAACACATGTCATTGCGGGCAACAAATCCAAACGATCGAGTAAAAAAATCTTCTTGACGAAGCCATTCGTATCAAATAAAAAAAATACTATGTATAGTACGAAAAGCAGTGGTCATCGAACGTTAAATTGATGAAATAAGATAAGATCAGATTCGACCTGCGATTTGTTTTGGTTAAAAAAACGTCTTTAAAAAAATAAAAAATAAAATTATTCAAAGAATGCGCAATTAAATTGTAAAATTCACTAATTTTAGTGGATAAGAATCTCTTAATTCATCGTCGCGCTTTCGCATTCGCGGCATCAGATTCAACGGTATAACGCCATGGATACTTTCTACTCTCATTCATACTTTCTATACATAATCGCCATCCTAGTAGAAATGCCGTTTATCGATCGTATTAATATATTCTGATTTGCGTAAATTTCTTAAAGAAGAATGCAAGAGCGCTGATTCTGGTTTCATAAATCTTTCCTACGGTACTGCGAAGGAAGCCACGAGAGCACGAAGGTCGCGAGTATGTCGTTGCATCGTCATTACCTCGAATACCTCCAAGTGCCTAAATCTCTACAGAACACATGTCATTGCGGGCAACAAATCCAAACGATCGAGTAAAAAAATCTTCTTGACGAAGCCATTCGTATCAAATAAAAAAAATACTATGTATAGTACGAAAAGCAGTGGTCATCGAACGTTAAATTGATGAAATAAGATAAGATCAGATTCGACCTGCGATTTGTTTTGGTTAAAAAAACGTCTTTAAAAAAATAAAAAATAAAATTATTCAAAGAATGCGCAATTAAATTGTAAAATTCACTAATTTTAGTGGATAAGAATCATTAATAAAAATATATTACATGTAAATGAAAATTAATATAGTAATAATTATAATATTCTGATTTTGATATCTTTTACATACTTTAATACTTGAAGTTTTCAAATGTCCTCAATTATCTCTAAAGTGTGATACATAAATAAATTTCAATACATAGTATATTTTTAAAGCCTATACATATTCTATTTAAATGTCAATCACAGGAAGTTGTCTAAATAAAGTTGATAAGTTGCATGCAAATATTCGGCGCGCGCCTTTTTACTTTTAATAAAACGTCCATATTTCTCACGCGTTATTATATAAATAAATTTCTAGATGAAAACTCGTCGGTGTGAAATTCGGAAATCCTGTACCGATAGCGATACCAATCACCATAAGAAATACTGCGAGTGAAAGGCGTCAATAATCGGGAGCGTTATAAGGGGCGTTTAAAAAATTCGCGCATACTAGTCTGCTATATATGCGTGGTGCGAGTAAATATCAAAAATGCATAAATTGCATTACTTTTACTTCCTCTCCCGTAAAATAATAAAACTTTGTATCGCGGGTAAACCGATTCTTATTTCTTCAACCATCTCTTCATATATGTATATTCGGAAGCGATGTTATATTTTCGCGTATGTTTGATCGATCGCTCCGGTTTTTTTCTCACGGTCTCTCTTCTCTGGTTATTTTTATTACAGATATATTAGATAGATGTATATATGATTAATATATTACAAAATTGCTTAAAGATGGAAACTTATATCCTCTGATAAGCTTTATCTCAAGAGTATTTTTGAGTTGTAATAATTTAAATTATTTCGATAATTGTTATATATATATA